TTCGCCTGGATGTGGGCGTTCGCCACGTAGCTACTCGCGCGCGCATTTCGAGGGCAGCGGCCTAGAGACGGCGGAGAACGCCACCGGCCTCGGAAAGTGCCGGCCGGGCAGCGCACACCCAAGCGCTCAGTCGTCCCGCGTGAAACTCGCTGGGGATAGAGGGGCATACTGCCCCGTCTCATCCTGAAGGTCCTGAGCCGGGCGCGTGAGAACTCGGCCGACCGGCCCCGAGTTTCGCACAGCAGAGATCGGCGAGCGCAGGGCCAGCCGTTGGCCCGCTTGTCTTGAAAACGGCAGCGGCTGGACGCCCACGTTCGCTCTGCCTGCGCTGAGAAATTCAGCCCGAACGGACCAGAATTGAGCTCGGCGCTCACCGATCTTGTGCAGACCACTGTCGACAGCGAGCGCGGCCTTACACAGCCCCCGAAACGCGTCGAGACATCTGGGATGTGTCCCAGGGCCGTTGACGCCGCACCTCGGGACCACTCGTGGCCGAAACTGCCAACATTTGGCCAGCGTCGCGCCTGGCGCCAACCCAGATCCAACCGGTAGATCGCCGCGCAAGCCCACACGAATGACAGCAGCGTGTTGCGCCCTGCGCGTGTCCATTCTCACGCCGATCCACCGTTGCGATGGCACGCGGTGGCGCAAGTTGCGCCCAAAAGTCCGCCAGTCGTGAGTTCGTCTTCCTCTTTGTCGCCCAGTTTGCACCAGAGTTTTCGTCAGAGTGCTTTGAGTAAGCCGGGGTCAACCAGGGCTGTGGAAAGGGCAGCGGAAGCGGAAGGGGGTCGCCAGGCGCGGTCCCAGTTGGCGCCAGAACTCGCCAGAGGTAGGTGCAGCTGCTTCGTTGCAAGCCAGAATCGCAATGAACAGCCTTAGGATTATCGCTTGAGCAAGCTGGGGCCGGCTGGCCGCGAAGAGGACAGCGGGAGGGGAAGGGAGCCGGTAAGAGGGGCCCCAGTTGGCGTCAGGGATGGCTTTGCCGCTGAGTGCGACCGTCTTGAGGATTTGGCCGGCGGATGTGGTGGTTGATAAAAAAGAAGCACTGACAAGAATCATGATCTGGCATGCCGGCGCCGAAGGCCGGGCGGGTTCCCACACAGCCTCAGGCGGTTTTTTCTTCACCTCTCATACACCGCCGTTGACGCGAGCCTGAGCGGGCTGGAGAGCTACCTTGCCCTACTGCCAAGGTGCGTCATTAACCGGACCGTCCCACACCTGGCGACCGCCGTGACACCATCAGCGCAGTGCCTTCGTCTCAAAAGGATGGCCGCAATGACGGGCTGGGTTGAAAGACGGATGGCTTCCAGGTGAGTCAAAATGTCGTCTCGCGTGGCAAAGTTGATGGTACTAATACGTCGGAGGGACCAGCACGCGTGGACTCGGCGCGGGGCCTGGCATCCGCTTATCATCCCCACCTTCCTCCACTCATTCCGACCCGGAGTCACCTGCAACAATGCACGCGCTGTTCACATACATGAAATCACAGTGGTACGCCGGCGCCGTGATCTCTACATACGCAAGCGCGGACTGCGTCTGCGGCGGGGGCGGTTCCATCACCATGTACGCGCCGCCGTCGTTGGGGTCGTCGGGGTCCGGGCCGACATCGTACCCGATAAACCCGCGGAACGCGTCTAGCCCGCTGGCAAGCGTGACTGGGGTCTCTGCGGTGGACGGCCGCACGAGCCGCAGCACCGCACCGCTCTCTGTGCGCAGTGTACCGTCTGCGCACACGCCGGGCCGGATCCCGAGCCTGCGCCACACTGCGTCCTTGCCCCCGGTCGGGTCCGCCCGCGCTGCCCGCTTCACGAGCTCGACCGTCCATGCGCTCGTGTCGATGATGGTGAGCAGCACCGGCCCGCGGAGGCCCGGGAGGCGGGTGCCAGGGTCGGTGAGCGGGGGCAGGTCCTGATACCGTGGGAACGGGGCAGGGCAGGGAAGCGGGTCGACCCAGCGCGCACAACTCGGCAGCCAGTCCTCCACGGGGTACCGCAGATAGCCGTCGTCGTCGAGAGGGTCGATCATCGCCAACAGCGCGCGTGGGCGGACGAAAAACGCCTGCTTGTAGTCGTCCACGTCAGCGATTCCCGAGGTCACGAGGTACGTGATGTACAGCAGGGAATCGCGGGGCGTCGGCGCAAACTGCACGTGCACCGATGACGAAGGGGTGCCGAATGGATCGCCGGAGGTCATGGTGGGGCGGCAGCTGAACGTGTGCGCGAGGAGGCCATCGAACAGCGCAGGGAGCTCCAGGGCCGCGACGAGCATGAGGTCGCTGTTTTCTGTTGGCAGCTGCCACACTTCGAGCTGGTTCTCCGGGCCGTTCGCCGTGAGCAGCAGGTCCGCCCTGAGGAATGCGACCGCGGGAGAGGAGCATGGCACGTGCTCCGCCACGAGCCGCCCCGTCTTCCAGTTGACCAGCACGAGCACGTGCTCAACTGGGTAATCAACGTCGTCAGCAACGGGCACCGAGCCGCCCGGACCCGCAAGGGCGACGACGACGGCGAGGAGGTCACCAGTTGGCGACCGCTGGATGGCGCCGCACATGTTCATCTCCGCTATGTTCGTTGTCGCAGCATCGTACAGCGCGAGCTGCGTAGTCGTCCCCGTGGCCCGGGCCGGGTGAGGCAGCCCAGTGGACAACTGGAAGACGTACAGCTCCGCCGCGATCATTTCCACGTCGGTGTCGCTGTCCACGCCCACACTAAGCACAGGCCGTTAGTCTGGTGGTTTAACCAAGGAAATCACGTACTATTGCAGCCCAATGAACAAGTTAAGGTGCTGTAAGTTGATCTGGTTTACAAACCAGTTAGAAACATGTTTTTAAAAACAGTGTTAGTTTCTAATTCCTGGGGGTGGGGGGTGTTTGTAAACAGCCATGTGTGACATTATATCACATCAGTCACACAATCAACACTACCAAATATGGTAATTTCCTTCTGGATAGTAGATACCTAGTTGCTGAGATGGAAAATACTGTTGCTATCAAGAGGTAGTCTAATGATAGGGTGGTACCAGACTATAGAAGTAGTAATACTCGATAATTATTATAGACACTAAAGTATATTAAGTAATCCCCCCCTTGTTTTAAAAACTGTTTATAAACACCCCTGTTTTTAAAAACTGTTAGAAACACCTGTAAGTATTGGCTGGGGAATTACTTACAGCACCCTAGAACAAGTCGTCCGCCTCGCACGCATATGTCGCGGCCCAGTTCGTCCGCCCGCTACGCAGCTCCAGCCATGTCCGTGCCGCGCGCACCGGCCCGCTCTCCTCCGGCCCCGACGCTAACACCGAAGTCGGCTGCAGATTGAGCCACCGGCGCTGCTGCGCGAAAAGCATCTCCTGCCGCTGGGAAAGCGTCGGGACCGGCCCGGCCCGAGGCAGCTGCTCCGCAAGGCCGAAGCGCGCGAGGTGCTGGTAGTACAGTGCGCGTGACCACTTGTCTGACAGGTCCCGGTAACGCCAGGGAAATTTTTTCAAGATTTTAGACATTTTTTTTCAAGATCAGCTCCCCAAAAAACGTCGATTTATCACTTCAGACCCAATTTTCCCACGGTGTATCACTTTTTGGCCAGATTTCACCATTTCCGGACACTGGTCCGGTGGCTCCCCGGCCTACTGCCAGACCTAGAAACTGTATTTTTGGTAGCTGAGGACAGAGAAGCACTGAGAACCAGGACCTTAGCAGATTTGCACACTTCAGCTAGTTAGAATATACCTACTGAAGGCTTTGAGACGGCTTAGACAGATTTGGACAGCTATGATTTTGGGAGTGGCAGGTTACATATTATGACACTTGTGTATAAGGCCAATAAATGGCAGGCACGAGTACTTACAAATTTAATGAACCGACAGGGAGTCCAAAACAAAGAAGGAAACGCGAATCGAATTAGAGCAGCTGGCCCTTAACGAGGAACGGCAGACGACGCGGAGAGCTAGAGCTGGCACCGTTACAAATATGTCACGCAATCACAGCCAGCATCATTACAAGGCAAAAACGATGAAGTCCGAAAGACATTACAATTTGGATAAGATGAAACCCTAACCCAACAGGTAAATGCAATACAAACCGCCATCAAAACCATTAGAAAATGCCATCAAAAAGTTACAATTATGCATGCTAACGCATCAAAATTTTCGAGGTCTGAAACCCGGTATCCAAAATGTCATAGACGATTACTAAAGTACTCGTAAAAATCATGATATATAGTGATGCTATCACACCCATCAACGTCTATCTGCCATATTTGAGTGATCTACATCAATGCCAAGTGATGCCGACATGATTTTCCCACAGGTATCACTTTTCTGGGGTCACTATTTTGAAACCCTTCACCAATTCCTTAGATATTTTAACTCAAGGTACCTCTACCCTGTAGCTTTCATTTCCTGCAATCTTAGAATACTATGGTCATTACAAAAAATGAACGGTGGTCATCTTTTTTTGGTTGACATCTACACTGATCCAGCATTCGAGAGGTGGTCACACGCACTGTAGTGCAGCCGCGGGGACCCGTCGATGGGAGCTCGACAGGGAGGTGAAGGAGTGCCATAGCGTGGTCGAGTGATGTTTAGAATTGGGGAGGACTCGGTCCCGGGAGGCCTTATTGTAGGACACTGCCTCGTGAGTCCCAGTTATCGAAAGCAGGACAAAAACCGGCGGGGCGGACGAAAACGAGACAAAGAATGACAATGTACATTGTCCCGTCGCGGCGGGCACTGGCGCGTTGCACATTGCTCCTCTTTGTGCCGTTTTTAGTCTGCCTTGTCCACGTCAAGCTGAACAATTACGCTGTGTGGGAAGTAAGCAACAGAAGCAGATGAATACAACATACAATGTTGGTTTCCAAGACGCCCAACGTCAGGAAGGAAGATGCCCTGGGGTTGTTATTGTTCACTTCGTGCTGAGTGAGGGAAGGAAAGAAGCCACGTCAGCGTCACGTCCCATGGCGAAGGACGATCACGGCATGTCACACTCGTCATCGTCGTCATACCCCTTACACCTAACCATCATGTCGACTGTGCTCATCGTCGGCGGCACGCGTGGACTCGGCGCGTCGCTGGCGTCTGCCTATGCCGCCGCGGGCTCTACTGTCTACGCCACGTGTCGCTCCCCCTCCCCGCCTTCCTCTCCGTCCCACGACAACATCCTCTGGGTGCCCGCCATCGACATCGCCACCGAATCCGCGGGCGTTGCGCTTGCAGCAGCGCTCCCGCCACATGCGGTGCTCGACACCGTCATCATAACCGCTGGATACTTTACCCGGGAGTCGTTTGAAGAGCCGCGGTGGGACGAGGAGGTGAAGATGTACACCACGTGTGCGGTCGGCCCGCTATTCGTCGTGCAGGCCCTCATTACCGCGGGGAAAGTGAAGACACACATCAAGGGCGGGGTGCCGAACGACGCGGGCAAGGTCGTGCTGGTGAGCTCGGAGGCCGGGTCGATTGGGCTGCGACACGCGAAAGAGGGTGGCGGGAACTACGCGCACCACGCGAGCAAGACAGCGCTGAATATGGTGGGCAAGCTGCTCAGCCTCGACCTGCTGGGGATGGGCGTAGCCGTTGCCATCGTCCATGTGCGTGGCATTCTCTTCTTTTTTGTCGGCCGGAGCTTATTGACCTTGAAGCCGGGCTTTATGCGCACGGAAATGACGAAGAACGTGGGGTACGATGAGTTCTGGGACTCTGGCGGTGGTGCGTTTTCCCTCTGTTCTCCTGTACTTCGCTCATTCGCCGCAGCTGTAACCCCAGACGAAGCCGCAGCCTCCCTCATCCCCTTCATCGACGCATTCTCTCTCGAAAAGACAGGCCAGTTCTGGGCACCCCGAGGCTCACGGTGCGTCTTTCTCCCCTCTTCTTCTCCTCGACGCTTACCCTGACAGCGATATCGGCACCGCCGAAGCCACGATGGGCAAGGACCTACCGACACCACTGCCGCTTCCATGGTAAAATCTCCAACACAAGACATGATATGATTATCATCCGCAATTCTCCACCGCATCATTGCTCTCTGTAACATCCGTCATGTACAAAGGACTTGCTTGCTCGCTTTCAATCGAATCTGTTGTTGATCACCGGCTGTTGATCATGGGAATGCTTAAGGCGATCCTATCAAGTATGCACTGCCTGGTTCAAGTTCACACAAAGCTAACTATTTACGTCGATGACCTCTAATACCCTATTATTAGACCGTGTCGCCAATCGCGCATTTTGTCTCGTATTCAAGCACGGTCAGTCGCCGGATGGCAAGTCGTGCCTTGTATGTGTTCAGCGACCAACTCAAAGAACCGGAAACGTCGGCGGATCTAATCTCTGGCACAACTTTGGTCTTGGACTCTGGGACTTCCCGCGACAATGGCACATCATGGTGCACAGACATCAGCGCTGGCGCCACCTCCTTTGAAACAGAAGCCCTGTCTTGTGTTCACACGCACACACAAATGCGCTCCCACGCCGAACGGACGTTGACTCGAATTCCCGGATCGCTGGTCCGACTTTGTGTGCAGTGGAGGCCTAAGCACGAACAGGAGGTGTATCGATCAGATGCCAGTAAAGATTTGCTCCACCCAGATGTGAATGATTGTAAACGCAGGCTGGCTTTGTCACTTGAAAACTACTGCTGTTGACAGACACCGAGTCTCTTGCAGTTGGTACTGTGGGAGCGAGGATACGGGCTTTGTTAGAGCTACAGCGTACTTCCCACATCACATCAGAATGGAAACCTCAACAGCCTTGAATTCGACCGCCATCGTGGATATCCTAGCCAAGCCGTATGTCTGCGCCAGGCTAATCCCCGTCATCACTGATATTGTGCAGTGGAGAATTGAAAACCCATGTGGCGCGCCGGCGTCTACGGCGCTATTCCTGGACTAGTGTTCGATTTCGTGCGCACATTGTGACTCAGGTGAGATCTCGCGTCGATAAGTAACTGGTGTTGAGCTCAGGCTGATTCATCATTCCAGCAGGGATCCGGAAAAACACTCGTGAGATGTAGGCTCGAAACGTATAAAACGTAGGGTCGGATGTAACACCGTCAACGCCTCCGTTCTTCTGTCTCTGCTCCCGCGGCCAGTTCCGCCTCGAACTACCATCCCACTATCCGACTTCATCTATCCGAGTCCGCCTTGGTAGGTGACTACCTAATTCATTATTGTGGGTACTCATGATATCCAAGATACAACCATGTGTATGGGATTCCCCGAGTGCTTACACCATCAATGCGGACATTTCGTGGATGTTCCTGGCACCTGGATCACTGTAAGTCCCCCCATACTTTGTTTCCTTATGATGGCAGTACTAACCCGCGCCGATGCAGATGTCGGTCTGCAGCGACCCATCCTGCATCGCTTCCCCTGCCCACCGGAATGACCACGACTGTCAGAGAACGGGATGTCGCAGCAGGTTCTTACCCGTTTATTGGTTCACCCAGTGCAGCATTGAGCGTTGCATTTCGTAGCCGAATCAATCGCGCACTCCAGCAAGCGATGGTTGCACGACCCGCCCCTGATATTTGCTATCGCTGCCAAATTTCACGCGATATCCGCAGACGCTGAGCGGAAGACAGAGACCTCAATCTATCAACGACCAAGTATCTGCTCAGGAGATGAAGTAAATTTAAATATCAGTACTTTGCCTGTTTTATATTTCAAACTTGAAGTGCATTTGGAGCTATATAAGTAGTTGGTCTATCATTCATTAACAGAAAAGGTCCAGACACACCAGAGCTTTGTGGAAATTTAGGCCAGGAAATTCAAAGGACTACTTAGTTTTTGAATAAATTTTCTGCTGTCAAACGTGAATAATTAATGGTGAGAAAACAACATAAGTGTATAAATGAGAGCGCAGACTCAGACCTGAGTCCTTAGTATATAAAGAGAGAGCATATAAGGAGGGCTTCTAAAATATGCGTCTTGGACCCGTAAGCCGCCGTACTGCACATGAACTTAGTCATATGGTCTACAGCCTGAGCTTCTACATATCTAGGGCTCCAACCTTTTCCATTAAAATATTTACAAGTGGTAATAAATATATTCAAATAATGATTTTATTTGTGAACTTGCGTAAACACAACTTAAATATAACTAAATAGTTCAAATAGGGTTTCAAATAGACTCAAATCAATCACAAGAGTGTAGTGCCAGTACTGTAGTGTTTTACTCAATTTGTGTTATGGACCACAAAGAATGGGCGTAAATAGTAGATTCTCCTCAAACACTAGAAATACAGGACTTATATACTATGATAAAGAATGACATCATTAGAGTAAATATCATGATCATGACAAAAATCCTCATTCCGATCACTGCCACATTATCCTGGCTTAGGGATGGGCACGGATTGGCCCAATCCGGACAGATCCGCATAAGTATTGTATCCAGACGGATATGGATACCCGTTAGGGTGACAAAAATTATCCATGGCCAAACTTGGACGGCCGACCTCTTGGTCAGTAGCCAAGTGTCATTTCGGGCGACAGCAGGGAGAACAACTGAGTGAATATGACATGGTCAGTCATGGTATATGATGCCCCATGGCCTCAATCCGCCGATTATTGTTGTACCATTTCCGAAGCCAGTAAGGAAATGGTGCAACACATGAACATGTGCAACTCCTTGGGTTTACACAATACTGTACTTTCCCAAACTTTTCCTTCCCTCCTTCCCATTTCCCACTTCCTCTTTATTATCTCAAGATATCCAAACTGACATCATGCTCAGGGACACAGCAGGACAGCAGGACCTAAAGTATACCAATAATTGAGCTTGGTCTTCTTGTCATCAGCACTGAGGGCAGCAGCAGCTCTATCCAAATTGTCCTCAACCCTTCTGTTGCTGTGCTTGGGCTCTGATCAGGTCCAGAATTGCATATATATATGGACAAATAACCTCCTATAGCCATATGTGATATCACACCAAAAACAGCACTTGGAGACCATCTTCAAAACATTATCAAGTTCAAATTATATCTCCTTATGAATACTGAACAGCAGTCAATCTTGATTGATTTTGGTATCACAAGTAATGGGCAGTGTAAGGGGAGCATGTGATGTGACATCTGTGACTGATCACGTGACTGGTCCGTGCGCAGATAGCCCTGTACTTAAGTAGTTGGCAGTGGGGTTGTTCCCCCGGCTTTGGTATCAACTAGGCACCTGGACCCTCATCCCCTGACAGGCAGTCCATTTTGTTACCTATATTATACTGAAAAAGGCTTTTTGTAAGGGCAACCAGGCGGATGCTGCTTGTGGCCGTAGCCATGGGTTGATGGTAACGGCTTACGGGTAGCCGTTGCCGTTTCCATGCATTGAGGATCTTGCATTTCCCATTGATGGGACGGTTATGGTTCAGCTTATAGCCGTAGTAACTGTTGATTTACGGCCGTGGCAGCTGTCACAACGGGTCTGCGGTTTAATGCGATCAAATTGCGAGATTCGTGCTTACAACGGCGTGACAATGGCTGTAAGGATGGCTTGGTGGTTGTGTCATTGAGACAGTATGCTCGGGTATCATAAACTGCAACATCTTGGCAACATCACCAACTGCCTGAGGTCCCATGGCCTCTGAAGCTGCTGCCAAGGGCCCAAAATTGGCTTGGAACCAGGTAAGCAATGATAACAATAACTGCTGAGTATATTGAGTGCAATGCACAGATTGATTTGATGACTTACCTGGCTTTCGGTGGTGCTCTACAGGGGATTTGCCGTCAACCTGTCTCAGAACCGTCAACGGCCGGCCTGTTACTGCTGCCATGGGATTGACTCCGCGAGGGCAGCGTCCAACATAGGGATGCCACCTGTGTCAGGAACGGGGCCGGCCCGGGCCCACGTGACGGTCTCCTGCCAGTCTGACAAGTGTGGGAAAGATGGTTCAACCCCCATAGCTGGGTGGTCGGCAACCAGGCAGCGTAGATGGTGCCACTACTGCAATAGAGCAGGGTAGGGACAGCTCGGGGCGACTCGAGACGCCCCGCTGTCACGTTGTGTGACAGCGGTGTCACAGGATACGAGTAGTCGTCTAGAGTGTCCTACCCCTGCTGAAGGGAACGAGTCCATAGCCAAAGAGTGCTGCCTAGTAGAGTCGGTGCCCAAGACATAGGGCAAGACATAGGCTGGGCCAGCTGAACAAGCCGTTCGGGCGGGGCGTGACGTAACGCGGTCACGCCCGACGGTTCAGGGGGTCGAGGGGAGTCGCCCCGCAGCAGGGGCTGCGGGCCCGAGACCCCTGGAGCGCTTGAGAAGTGTTGCCAGTCCAAGGGGCGACATATCTCCTTTCCTGGAGAAACGAGTCGCTGTGGCTCCTAGACACCGCGTGACGGCGCGGTGTGACGCGTGACATGCGGGCCCGATCGGGCCCGCACCCTCCCATCGCCCCGTACCAGGGGAACCCAGAGCTTGAGGCCAGAGAGCAAGAAGAAGTGGCTAGGACAAGGGTGAACATAAGAGACAAGAGCCTGGGCTGTCCAGCCCAACCAAGGGCTCAGGTCAATGAGGCAAGCTAGCCTGGAGTGTTGGAAGTCGTCTAGACGCCCCTTTCCTGGGGTATGGTCGCAGCAACCCCGCTCTAGGGGACCAGGCCGGAGTAGGGTTCAAAGGAAGAGACTTCAATGCTAAACCTAAGGTACAGGAGTAATACTGTAGTCTTTATATACTGTGGGCGCTAGGGGCCGATCGGGCCCGCTGAGGGTCGATCAGAATGGAGCAGGGGATGTCTCTGGTCGTCCCTGGTCGCTCCGCTAGGAGCCCAGGGACCATTCCTCTGGAAAGGAGCCATGCCAAAGTCGACACTAAGGAGTGTTTTGGCAATGCAACAGTGAGGAGCTCCCTCCTGATCCCTGTGGTTGTCTGGGCCCGATTGGGCCCGCTGTCAAGGGCGTCCGGCGGCGCATCATGATCCCTGATGGCGGGTCATGATGGCTTGATGGCTGACTAAAGCGCGATCCGTGATTATGTC